TCCTAGCAGCTTGGGAGGCTGAGGCAGGAGGATCATGAGTCTCAACAAAAAGCAAGGTGCTAAACAACTCATTGAGACCCTGTCTCCAAATAAAATACAAAAAAAGGGAATATGGCTCAGTGGTTTAGTGCCCTTGAATTTAATCCCTGGTGCAAAATAAATAAATAAATAAATAAATCTATGTCAAGGCTATCGACTTTGTAACTTGACTGATACCACCAGGGACCTCCATAAAGGTTGTACCAATTTACACTGCCAGTCAGGTATCAGAGTTCCTGTTTCCCCACACCTTAGAGTATGTTTGTTTTCTTAGTACATTTAAGAAAGAAAAAAATACAGGGGGGATACAAAAGAAAATGTTATCTACAACTGTGTCCTGTGCATCATTCCACCTGAGGGCTTAGAAAGTGCCTAGCAAATGTGGCTGACCTTGTGATAGGACACAAYTGGGCAAGTGACAGGTCTCACTGGGGGTAGTGACATGCCCCAGGCGGCCCCAACACACCTTTCTTATTGAATTGGTTCTCTACTTAGCACCATAGACCAGTTCCAACTCTGACTGACCTGCTCAGGGTGGTAACCGGAAAGTTAAACAACTTCGGTTTTCCTGAAGACTGACAAATTGTTCTCTAGTCAAACAGGCTACTTCAGAGTTGGTCTCACAAAATAAATGAACTGGCTCTGAAAGCAACTGGCTTAATTGATAAGCAATCCCCCAAAGGTCCAAAATACACTACAGCATTTTCCATAGATCTCCRCCATAAACAAACTCTTGGAGCACCTTGAGTGCCCCACCCTGCACCTAATGGAACAAAACTTTTAAAAGAAATTGGTGCACCTGTATTTCATTGTTATTTTCATGGAGCTTTCAAATGATTCAAAAATTTTGAGGTCCTTTGAGAATATTATAATTGCTTGTTTCTCCATGACACAAAAGAATTAATATTGCTTAGTAAAATATATTCCTTAGCCTTTCCAGGAACACCTACCACCACACTATATCTTTCAAGGCATATTTACATATAATTTCCATATCAGTCTCCTTTTCAGCCTCAAATATACACACACATTAATTCGTTGAGGGCATCAACTGTACCATGGAGTAATGTACATACACTATTTTAAGACTGCATTTCCATGAGTTTTGCCAAATGTATATACCAGTGTGACCATCACAACTGGTTATTTAATCCTCCTGCCACTGTTATACAACACACACGGATCCCAGCCCTTGAAATGCAAAAACAGACAGCATGTTTCCACTGGCATGTGACCATGCATCCTCCCTGCAAACACCGCCCATGTCCAGGATGCATTTCCAGGACTACAGTGATGGGCAACAGTGTTCTGAGACCTAGYATCTGCTCACCCAGAGCGTCCCAAGAGACAGTAGACTTTGAAAGCCCTGCTTCCTCCAGCAGTTCCCCAAGGTTTCCAGGACTCTCTCCATCCTGCCCAAGCTCCCCAGAGGCTCTCAGTTTGCCTCTTAAAGGACTCAAGCAGCCATTCCCTGTGGTTTGACCAGGGCAGGGTAGAGACTGGGGCAATATCTCCCAGATCTCTACTCAAATATTTGTCAAGTGCCCAGCATGTGCCAGGCACTTAAATATGAGTAAGATTCCACACCTGCCCTCAGGAAGGTCACAGAACTCCACTTATGTGCCTAATTAATGGATTTCAATAATTGTTTCAGGGTCATTGCTCATATTGAACTTGGAATGAGTTAAAGTCCACATACATTAGTCAGGGCAGAATAATTTCTTCCAACCTAAGTGCAGGGCTTTTCAGATAGCCCTGTTGCCTTTTATCATCTTGATTTTTGTCTTATTCCAATAACCAACGTAAGAACTCTGGCAAGATGTTAACTATTAATACCAAAGCAGGTAATACTTCACAGAAAAATAAAGGCGTAGTCTTATTTCTCCTCATTGAATTAGTCTTTGTGGTTTTACTTGTGTTAATAAATACATTTTAAGCAAAAGATGGGCCATGTTGCATTATTTCATGGCACTACACAGTATATTGATAAGTGAGGACATATCTTCTTTTTTTCTTTCTTTCATTTTGTTTTTGTTTTAACTGCAGGTTCTTTTCTTGGCCAACTCCTTCAACACCCAGTGCAGGGCTGGGGTTGCAGCTCAGTGGTAAAAGCACTTGTCTAGCCCGTGTGAGGCACTGGGTTCGAAGCTCAGCACCACATAAATAAATACACAGGTAGATAAATAAATAAATAAAGGTATTGTGTTGGTCTACAACTAAAAAAGAAAAAAAGGCCCAGTGCAGATGGCACCACTTAGGTGAAGACTTCTAGACACTCACACGGAGGGAAGAACCTTCTCTGCTTTCTCTTCTTTGTTCCCAGCTAATTCCCCTAGACCAGGTCAGGGAGTCATTTACCTATTTCATGTCTACTTATGACCAACCATCCTATTCACTGGAGACTGTTCAGGTCAGCACTAAAAGTTCTGGGAATCTCCTCAGTGGGGGGGGGGGGACACAGAAAAATTGGTCACTGTACATAACAGTGAGTGTGTTTAATAAAATGTCATGATTTATGAAGGGACAAGGCCAAATACTATACATCACAAGTGTCACCTTATCTAACTTAAGACAACATTAAAAGTAGTCKTGATGATCCCATTTTACAGAAAAGGAGGTGGATTGAGATCACATGAGGCACCTGGAACCCAAACTGCCCAACTTCAAACACCTGTGCTCTTTCCAGCGCACTGTATCGCCACCTCAGAGGTGGGTGGTCACTAGCTCCCACCGAGCTCTCAGCAAGCATCATGGAAACCATTCTCCTCCTCYCATCACCGGAGTTGGCCACCTAAGCTACCAGGCATTGACCAAAGGACCTTGTGAGGGACGAACACATTAAGGGGCTGGGAATATGGCTCAGGGTTAGAGTGCTTGCCTAGCGAGCAGGAGGCCCCAGGTTTGAGGCCCCAGGTTTGACGCCCCCTCCAGCACCCCCCACACACAGAGACAGAATCTGGGGGAGTAGCTCGGGTGGGGAGCTCCTCTAGCATGTGTTAGGTCCAGGCCCCTAGGCTCACTCTCCATAAGGGGAAGGGGTGGGAGGGGCCACTGCCTTTGGAGGAAGTAATGCTTTTATGTAAGCCCCGCCCACCARCAGAACATGCTGAAGATCTCAGCGCCAACAACCCAACATGCCTGGCCTTCCTACAGAGACAACACAGCACCTTCAAAACTTGACCACTTAAAACTCTTGGCTGCGGCAGGAAAGAAAACCCAGGGGCTTCCTGAAAGAAGGGTGGGGCAGAGCTGAGCCAAAGCCAGGAGCAGTCCTGGCTAGATGCTCCTCAAAGTCAGCTCCCACTGTTGACCCTGGAATTTGGGGAACCAGGACTTCAATACCTCCCTGTGTGGAGGGCTWGCAAAGTGAAATCCAAATACCCACAATGAGCACTCACAGTGTTGTAACTACTGCTGAGGCTGAGGTCCGAGATCTCCTGGTCTTTAGATTTGCATCTTCCTTCTTTTTCTTAAGCAAATACCAAATTCTCACTCCAAGACTACAGGGGTTCCAAAGGAAACGCCCAGTGCCACCCTGAAGACTGTGGGGGCTATTCCTCCCTATTTTAAATCCTATTTTAAACCAGAGGCCCCAGAAGGGGTTCACAAGAGACCCCAGAGAATAAGAATGCAGGTCTGAAGCGCCCTACACACCCTCCTCCAGCCACCATTATGTGGAGACTCTGCCACACACTATCTCAAAGGTCCACCCGCAGAGATTGGTGCGGCCCCTCCTCCCCCCACCAGGGGTGCCATCTGGTTTCCCTGTGCGGGGAAGGGGGATGCAGGGAGCCGGAGCCCCAGCCCCCAGCCCCGGCGCCACGTCCTTGGTTAATCAGTTTACCTGGGATGTGTATTTGGATGCCTACCCCCACTCCCAGAGAGCTCCGCCGGCCACCCAGGGCCAGAGAATAATTTAAAAGGTCTTCAAAGCCAGTGCCCCTACAGAAGCCAGTTCAATACTGGAAACAGGGAGAGGTAGACTTTACTCTTCAAAGYCAGAACAAAAGCAAAGGGTTTAGCACTTAGTAGGTAGTCAATAAATGTTAACTTTGTTTCTCTCTGGGCTTCCCCCTCCCTCCAAAGAGCCAGCTCAATTCAAACCCGATCCTCCAGTCCTCCTTGAAATTCCTCAGACCAGAGGTCGTTTGCATTTTGAATTAGTGGTTGCCACTTCCCTGTCTCTCTCAGCCGAAGTGCCAGGCCGAGAGATCAATTCATTCATCTACAAATCCGGGAAGTGGGGCTGATTGCAGTCCCTCCCAGGTCTGAATTGCGTCCATCATGATTTCTAAGCCCTGCCTAAAAGGGGGAAGAGGAGGTTCAAGGTGTGGAAGCAGCTGCAAAGTCTCTATTTAACCGGGAAAATATAAAGAACCGCCCGGAGGTGTCTGGCCCCATCCCAGCCCTGCGGACCTGGGACCCTGAGACCGCACAGCGCCCTGAAGGCCCACCCAGCGCGGACCCCAGTTCAATCCACCCCCAGGCGGTCTCCTTGGCTGGTCCCTCCTGTTTCCGGCGTGAAACCCACCCCTCCACACACAGGAAAATCATCAGCCACCTGGAGGGATCCTCCAACTGGGCTGCCAAATGGCCTGGATCTCAGGTCCAAGCCAGTGTAATCAGGGCTCCACTGAGGCGGCTGAGGAGGGTGGAGAGGAAACCAGAGCAGAAACCCCGCGGGTCGCCAGCGCCGTCCTCCCAGGCTCCCCGGGCTGGGAGCCGGACGGACTCTGGGTCTGGGCTGGTCTCCGCTTCATCTTGTTTTTTTTTTTTTTTTTTTTTTTGGTTACCGCCCTACAGCCCATCCCCACCAGCATGTCTTCCAGTTTGCTGGCGTTGGAAACTCGATGGCATCAAGCACCCTTCCCCACCCAACACTTTAAATCTCCAGCCCCAAGAGGGTTGGAGACAGCCAGCCTGATGCCGGCCCCCTTTCGGGGTCCTCCCGCGGTACTCACCGAGATTGGGGTGTCGGGCGGCGGGGTTGGCCCGCCCGGGCAGGCTGTGCAGGACCGGACTGTCGAAGGGGCCGGCGGAGGCGGCGGCGGCCGCGGCCCAGGACGCGCCCACGTCGGCCATGTAGGCCGGGTAGGGGCTGGAGTAGGAGCCCGCGAAGCCCGCGCGCCCGTACTGCTCGCGGCCGGCCAGGCCCGCGCCCGCCGCCCCGCCGCCACTGCCGTAGGCCGCGGCTTCCCGGGCGGCGGCGGCGGCGGCGGCGGCCGCCAGGGACCCTGTGGTCCCCGGGAAGGAGAAGCGCGGGGACACCGGCGGCGGGGTGTAGGCGGCTCCCTCGGCGCCCGCCTGGCTCCAGCCTGGGCTGCCCTGCTGTGTCCCAGGAGCGGCACCCGACGGGGCCGCGCCCGAGCTGCCGCCCGAGGCGGCTCCGGTGGCAGCTCCCCCGCCACCACCCTGGAGGTAGGACAGGCCCAGCACCGAGGAAGGCACCCGCGGCGTGGGCACGTAGACCGGCGAGGACGCRGCGCCCGCGCCGTGCATGAAGGCGCCGGGGCCGCCCGCCTCGTAGGCCCCCGGCGGCGGCCCGTGGTTGGCGGCCATGGCCAGGCTCTGGTACATCGCCCCTGGGAGCTCTTCGCGTCGCCCTCCTCGCTGGTCAAAGAGCCGCGCGGGGAGAGAAGACCACAAGACTAGTAATGGACGTGTGAGGGACTGTCACAAAAATGATTAAAAACCAAAGGGGGAAAAAACAAGGCCCTCAAAGATGTAGGCATATTAAATCCAGCATCGAGCAAAGGCTCAGGGCTCCCGTTTACTCAGGAAAATCAAAATTGCAGTTTGGGTGGTTCCGGAAGGTGGTGCACGAGGGGCCTCTCCGCCCGGGGCCTGGAGGTCCGGAGCGCTCGGGGCGGCACAAAACGCCAGGTGGTGCCTGGGCGCTGGTGTGGGGGCACCCGCCTTCGGGTAACCCACTCGCCACGTCCGGAGGCCTGGGTCCTGCGCGGGTCGCCGGGCACTGCTCCAGAACACCCGCAGCGCCAGTCGGAAGCCTCCAATTCCGAAGGCCTAGAGGACTCCTCCGCCTCGCTGCATCCAGGGTCCTAAAGGAGGAAGGACAAAATGAGAAAAAGAGGTTCATCCAGAGCTTTCAGAGGTCACCGTCCCCAAGCTTGGTTGGTTCTCCTGCCCTGCAGACTAAGTTGCCCGACTCAGGCTCGGCTTCCTAGGCCGCGCGGTTCCGAGGACAGCCGCCGCCTTTGTTTTGCCCCGGCGGTGGGGTATCCAAAGCCTCTGGGAGGGCGCCCTGTGGAAGTGGGGTCTTGGGCATGGAGGATYTAGACCAGTTTGATTGTGATCTAGGTCGTTTATTTTTGGATCGCTTATTAGGAAGGACTTTAATTTTACCTTATTCTTCAAAGCATATTTTTGCTACAATATTTTATAAATTCGAGAGTTTCAGATTAGGGGGATGCCTGGGACCCAAGAAATCTCCCTCCCCTCCCCCCCATTTCTCCTTGAGCAAACCTGGCCAAGAACTTTTAGATTGTCAGAGGGGAAACAATGACAATCTTTATAAAGACCAGTAACCTAAGAAAGTTTTGTTTGCAATCTTAAAAACAAAAAGGCTAGAGGTAGAGTCTCAATGTTTATAAATGAGCAACTGTGTCTGCAAAATCTCTAAAAAGGATCATGAAACCCCTTATCCACACACTATACCGTGTGGATGTCAAATCAGACTAGCTACGTGTTTATAGCAAACAGTTACATTTTAGACATTTTACAGATTGCATATGGGGACCAAAAGGGTAGAAGAAATGTACAAGATCACTTTACAGAACAACTCAGTGAACCATTCTAATTCACTGGACAGTCGTCCCCCCCCCCCCCCCCCCCGTGGAATCACAGGTCCACCCATATGCAGAATCGGCACACCAGTGAGTCTGCTTGGGAAAAGCACAGTTCATAGAGTTTGACTGTATGCTTCCTAGCATTCTGTTTTCATAATGCCAGAGATTTTTGTTTTTTCTTCTTCCTAAAAACATAGAACTCCACTTTCTGAAGCACCTGTTGTGCCCCAGGTCCTTTTCCCAGATCCTGCACCCTAAGTCAAGGGGTCTTCCCTCATTTTACAAAAGAGGGAAAGGAAGCATTGAAAAATTTTGAAACTCATCTAAGATCAAAGTACAATTAGAGGGCATGGGGGGGGGTGTGTCCATAAGGCTCCAAGAGCTTGAACCCATCCATGACACCCACATTTCTCTCCTCCAGAAAAGACAGCTGCTTCTCACAGTGGTTTCTTTTTATTGCAACAGCAGACTTACGAAGATATTAACTGAACCATGTATTAAATCTAGGCTCTGTCACTTAGTAAATTAATAACTTTTAGATGAATCACTTAACTTCTCTGTGCCTCAGTTCCTCACTGCAAAGTACAAATATTAAGGCTTCTGTCTCCTACAGCCAATGTGAGAATTAAGAACATGAATTATAAATGAATACACATAAAGTATTTATAATAAGGTCTTACAACAGGCACACAGAAAGTTCTATATAACTGTTGGCTATTATTACAGATTTTTAGTATACTATAAAAAGCACTGAGACATAATATATGCCACAATAAATGATTACTTTTATTATTGTAAAAATTCTAAAAGTGGAATCTTTACTACACTTAATTATATAATACTTTCTACCATTTTTTTCAACATCACTAGTAACAATAATAAAATTAATAGCACTGAATTACTTAGACACATGGTAACTGCTAAATGGCTTTTTTATTTGCTTTCAAAATACACAATAAACTATTAGTTTGGTGCACATTTCCTTCCATCAAGTTTAGTTAGAAGATGGATACAAAAAAAAATTGAACTGAGGTCACCAACATTTATTTTTGAAAACAAAAGCAAAAAATTAATACCTCCTAGTAGTCTCTGGGCTTCAATAAGTAAATAAATAGGTTTCCCTTAATAAAATATCCAATATTTAACTTTTATATCAAGTAGCTGACCTATTTAGTTGCATTTTCTGTAAAACTCAACTCTTGTAATTCTAAAATGTAGCGTTGTAAATTTTCTTTTCTCATAAAGCTGCAAAAAAGGAAGGAAATTCAGAATTTTGCCATCCAACTTGCAGTATATAGGTGCGAAATTTAAAACTTTAAAATATAAATGCTAGAAATGTTACAAATCTAACATTTGTCTTTTTAGTACGTTCTCTGCCTTTCCAAGTGGCTGATATATCACCTCGAAGTTGGATAACTGGAACCACAGAAGATGGAGAAAATACCCCTCTATATCCTTCTGGAAAGTTAAGAAACTATTCCCTTAAGAGGCTTGCTTGTTTCTGTAATTGAGCCTTGGTCCTGCCTACCGCAGACAAGCCCAGCGAGCTCCTGAGACTGGCAAAAGAGTCTGGCCCGTGCCCCAGTTTTCCCCCTCCTGATCACTCATCCCAATTCACCTCAAGTTTTCAGGCCCAAAGGAAATACTTCTTCCTTTCATGATTTAAYCGACGGCCCTTTTCTGAACTATCTTTTGAAAGTGAGAACATTGCCAGCGCCTGAATGCTCAAGACCATTTACAGGACTGAGCTCGCGCCGTCGCTCTCGGCCTACCGCGCAGAAAACTGTCACCCTGGAGCGTCCTCACTGGCCAGCTGCAACCAAACCTGCCGAAATCCGGGATAAGGAGACTCAGAAGCATTACCCCGGCAACCCATTGAAGCTTCTCTCTCTTTAGACTCTGGAAACCTTCTCTGTCTGCCTTCCCTCTCGGAGAAGCACAGGAAATGCCTCCCTGAGGTCTTCCCCAACCTGCCCAGCAGCGCRGGCCGAGCAGCTCCGGGACTGCCCTCCGCCACGACTCCCTCGCCACCCTCTTCCCCTCCATGAAAGGCCTCTCTTCCCCTCAAACTGGTGGCAGTTCACTACTCCGGAGTCCCTCTCCCAAGGGTAACCGGCCCCCACTCTCAGGCCAGAGCCGACAGACCTAAGGTGGATCCGGGGAGCCTGCGGTGGCAGGCGGAGGAACGTCACTGCCCGGGTTCCGGCTCTCCACGCGTTCCACCCAGAAGCAGTAGGGTGGGTGGGTGGTTGGCTTTCTGCGGGGCATTTGGCTCCCCGGACCCCCGTACAGAAGGGGAGGAAGCTGGCCTTAAAGGGCATAAAAGTCCGGCCGGAACTCTGAGAGCCCCCAGCGCCCCCCGGCCCCCGCTGCGCTGCCTCTCACTACTACGCCGAGTCCCGTGGTCGCCGGCGGACGACACCCCGGGGTCTACACCCTCCGTGTGAGAGCTGCTCTGAGGCCTGTCCCTAATCGGTCGGTCAGGGTTATTTTCTATGGCCACCATCACCACCCAGGCCCGGTCTGTGAGATGCCAAAGAGGGCTGGAGAGTCTGCACGCAGGGGCGGATCAAGTGTTCAAGTCCACACAACAAGAATCCCAACGCCTTTCAACCTCTCTTTCCGCTTGGCCCCGGTCTTACTTTGATAAAGAGTTGCCATGCCAAAGTCAAAAGCAGAGAAAGCTTTGAGCACTTTGGGAGAGGGAGTGACCCACGACTCCTTTCCACCTCCTGGAGACCTCTCTGTTCCCAGGCAAACCAGGACAGAGGAGCTCCGAGTTCCGCGAAGGACGGGAACCAGCAAAGAGGAGGGAGAAAACCCTACCTGCCGAGCCTCGAGCTTCCAGAAGAGCGGGCTCGCGCTCCCCGGGCGCCACCGGAGCTGCAGCGGCGGCGGAGCCTCTGGCGGCCACTGTGCCTCMGGCAGCTATTAGCTCAGCTCCCAGCGCCGTTCCGCTTGCCCCTGCGCTGGGCTCGCGGGCGCTGACTGGCCGGTAGSAGTCACGTGCCAGGACGGGGGGAGGGGTGCCTCTGCTGTCCCTCCGCTGGGCGCCGGGAGGCAGTTCAAAAAAGCTCCCCCAGCAGGCAAAGTCCAGGCGCAGGGATCTCTGTGGAAAGCGCCCGAGRGCCACTGCCAGGGCGCGGGGCTTTGGCCACCGCCCAACCTGAGATCGATACGGTTTGCTGTTTTGCCCAGGACCAGCTTTATGAACGAGTTACCTCTTTACCTCCAACCTGCAGTCGTCCTCTACCGGCCGCGGTGGGCGAGAGGCGGGGCTAAAAGAGGGGAAGGTGACCTCTCCGCCTCGACGCCGGATCTTTCCTAGGGCTCTGGGCCACCTAGGGGTGTCCGGCTGGCCGCAGATTTCTGGGACCGAGTACTGGGAAACTTCTCACCCCCGGACTCCAGAGAAACTGAGGAGACATCAAGTTCCGGACTGGTCTCCAAAATCAGAGTGTGGAGACCAAAGCCTCCCTTTTGCCTTCCCAGCAGCCCGGGGAGCCTGCCAGGCGTCAGCCTTGTTTTATGTACTTGTGCAAAACTGCACCCCTTCCCGGCGACGCTCCCCACCGGCGGCCTTTTCGCTTCTGATCTCTCCCTGTTTTCTCAGCAGCCTGCAGCGGCCGCTGCACCAATCTAAAGGACGCGGTGGGGGCTGGGAACCCGGCGATCCAGGCGAGCTTCCCCGCGTGCTAGGCTCTTCCAGGGGCTGGAGTCTCCTCCCTGGAGTGGGGGCGGGGAGGGTGTCAGACTTGAGTTTGGAGTCGGCGTCAGTGCCTGCAGGCCCTGGCGCAGCGGGACTGTGAGCCGGAGACTCCCTCAGACAGGTCTAAAGGTTAATAGAGCAATCACAGGGCCCTATTACCGCGTAAAAATAACCCATCGATTACCGCAGCCTTCAGCCCCAGATAACAGCCGGCCGTGGCTCTCACGCTTTGGGTTAAACGGTTTTTTTTTTTTTTCCCCATCTAAAGGCCGCACCCCCCTCCCCTGGCCCAGGTTTTTCGTACCAGATTAGAGGGATCTGGAGGGAGCTGGGACACCACCCTGCAAGAAA